GGTCCTGGGGGGTCACTGCGGGGTCAGGGGGCTCCTGGGGGGTCACTGCGGGGTCAGGGGGTACGCGGAGGCCACGAGGCGCTGCTTGTCCCACGTGTAGGTCTGGATGGTGGTGGCTTCGCCCCCCAGGCTGACGTGGCACCTGCAAGGACAGCCGAGGGTGACCCCGGGTCCGGGACCCCCCGGGTGGCCTCCAGGGCACCCCCTCGGGCGGTGGCAGCCCCCTGCCCGTGGTGCCCGCACTCACTGGCTGTCGGGCCGTGCCAGGAAGCAGAGGGTGAACAGCGCCAGGTCGAACTCGGGGCTGGAGCCCACCAGGAGCGACCCCCGGGATTTGAGGTGCCCGTCCCAGCGGAACCGCAGCGACAGCACGTCCGGGAAGGCTGTCCACTGCCGGGGGGGGGACACGGAGGGGACAGACAGACAGACAGGGGGACACAGACCGTGCCATGGGTGCCCATCCCGGCACGGCCAGGAGCCCAGATCACTGCCGGGGGTCTCACGGGGGGCACCGGGGCGGGCAGGGGGTACCCAGGTCAGGGGGGCAGGGACACAGAATCCCGCGGGCACGGACACGGACACGGGGGACACGGACACGGTGTGGCCTTGGGGACACGGGGGACACGGACACGGTGTGGCCTCGGGGACACCGGGGATGCTGCAGGACAGGATGGAGGATGGGGACAGGGGACAGCCAGCGGGACACGGGGACCACGAGGTTCCAGGGAAATGGGGGAGGTGGGATCTCAGGGGCACTGTGGGTGGGCACAGCGACCCTGGGGTCATCCAAGGGGACACGGACCGTGGCTGGGGACACTGCGGGGGAGGGGGCAGGAGGGGAAGCCGAGGGCGGCTGCAGTGGGTGCCCCACTCTGTGTCCCCACCCCCTGCTCGGGGAATCCACCCCCGTGTCCCCGGGTCCCCTGTGTCCCCTGTGCCCCCGTGCTGCCGTGTCCCACTGTCCCCAGTGTCCCCATGTCCTCCGGGTCTCCATGTCCCCCAGTGCTGCCCTGGGGACCACGAGGTTCCAGGGAAATGGGGGGGTGGGATCTCAGGGGCACTGTGGGTGGGCACAGCGACCCTGGGGTCATCCAAGGGGACACGGACCGTGGCTGGGGACACTGCGGGGGAGGGGGCAGGAGGGGAAGCCGAGGGCGGCTGCAGTGGGTGCCCCGCTCTGTGTCCCCACCCTCTGCTCGGGGAATCCCCCCCGTGTCCCCGGGTCACCTGTGTCCCCTGTGCCCCCGTGCTGCCGTGTCCCACTGTCCCCAGTGTCCCCATGTCCTCCGGGTCTCCATGTCCCCCAGTGCTGCCCCTGTCCCTCACTCAGGGAATCCCTCCTCATGTCCCCATGTCCCCTCATGTTCCCTGTCCCCACTCATGGGCTGTCCCAGGTGCAGCCCAGGTACTACCCCCATGTCCCCATGTCCCCATGCCCCCCCCGTCCCCTGTCCCCACTCACGGGCCCGTCCCAGGTGTAGCCCAGGTACTGCAGTCGCCCCCATGTCCCCATGTTCCCTCATGTCCCCTGTCCCCACTCACGGGCCCGTCCCAGGTGTAGCCCAGGTACTGCAGTCGCCCCCATGTCCCCATGTTCCCTCATGTCCCCTGTCCCCACTCACGGGCCCGTCCCAGGTGTAGCCCAGGTACTGCAGTCGCCCCCATGTCCCCATGTTCCCTCATGTCCCCTGTCCCCACTCACGGGCCCGTCCCAGGTGTAGCCCAGGTACTGCAGTCGCCCCGCGCTCTCCAGTGCCTGCAGCTGCACCCAGTTGTGACACCCCGACACCGCGTCGTTCTTCACCTCCCCTGGGGACACAGGTGACCACAGAGAGCAGGTGACCACAGCTGCCCCCCCCCGTACCCCCCCCGATG